CCGTTACTAAGGCGGGACTCTTATTTTGATGGGTTTTCTAGTCTACGTCGGAGCTAACGTTATATGGGTAATGAAAGCACGCAGTTCTTCGGATTTAAAGTTTGTCAATTTATTAAGCACCCCCTGGCACATGTGTTATATGTGCATGAGATCTGTATATTTGTTTACTGTTAGTTGTAATAAGTGTTTTGTGTAATTCGCTGTATGTTGATGATAATGCAACTGAGAGCGCACTGGATAGTTTGCCAAATCTGCAATAAAATGCCATTAATACAGCTTTAACTGAGGGTGCTTTTGATTTCGTTTGAGGGTGCTTAGCACCCCCGTAGAACCGGGCCTGCATCGGTGCATCCCTAGTTACAGTACAAGAGGATCTTGTGAACAATAAAGCAGAATGATATATATATAGATAGACAGATAGATAGGTAGATAGATAATAATAATAATTTATGCATTTAGCAGACGCTTTTATCCAAAGCGACTAACAGTGCATTCAGGCTAAACATTTTTTACCAGTATGTGTGTTCCCTAGGAATTGAACCCACAACCTTTTGCGCTGCTAACACAATGCTCTACCACTGAGCCACAGGACTAGATAGAGTCACATGTCCACAGGCATATACACGTGATGTGTTCACACATGCATGCAGTTCTTACCCAACCATAGCCGCTGTAGGCCGTGTGTTCTGCTGCGCTGCTGTCGGCGTGGTGGCAGATATCATGGAGTCCGTCCCACTTTTCTCCCAATCATATGGCTCATTCTCTGTGACGATGCGTTCTTTCATGCTGTTCTCAAACACTGACATCAGGAGCTGACACAGACACAGAGAACACCTTACAAAAGACCATTCATACCTGTATAATGAAATTTGTTCATGTAATGCTGCCTTTGAAATATTACATGTTATATATAAGAACATTTCAGAAAAGCACTGCATTTCACTGCAAATATTATATATTTAGAGTGCGAGAGAGAGCGATAAAATGCTTCTAGTCTACGTACCTGATAGTCAGGTTTGGTGTAGTAGTCAAGGCCTAAAACATGCTCCAGGAAGACATTAAACTCTGATGGCATGTGTTTAAGCAGCATCCTATTATCAAAGCGCTCCTTGATCTGACCAACCTGCTCCTAAATGATGCAGATGCAAACAGTAGATTTCAACAATGGTGGTCTGATACAGAATAAAACTTAAAAAAAAGTAATAAACAAATTGAATAAAACATAAGACATAAACACTAATTTTCAAACCAGGTAAGGAACGTCAGAGCACCTTGTCCTTGATTTTCCTCCACGGCAGCTGTCCAGCAGCAAATTCAACCAGCATGTAAAACAATGACCATAAGTCATCATGGCGCCCCATTTCCTGTAAAAACAACACAAGAATTCTATTAAATAAGCATTAGATGATTTTATCTTCTGTAAAATAAATTGTTTGATATAAGTTCACAGTAAGTTGACTTAAATTAAGCACTCACTTTGTTTTTATGTGCATTCACAGATGCATATCTAACAGTCCCTCGAAATCCTGCAACAGTTCTGGGCTGAAAGCAGATATGTATTAGGAAAATCTGTTAGCGATAAATGCATTTTAAGTTTTGTTATCTGTAATGTACTTACAGTAGAATTGGTACTATGTATTAGGGTAAATCAAAACAAATCAGAATATTTTTTTACTGTGCATTACTGTATAATTTTATGCATTATAACTTTCATTACAGTAGCAACAGGAGAGAGACAAACAGTGCACAACACACTCGGAAAGAAGAGGCGCCATGTCTTTGCCAAGTGACTGAACATGGTGTTACATTACTACAGAACAGTGAACACGCAACGCAAAAGGTAAACACCTTCCATCACGTAAATGTACCTGTGTGTCTGTGCGTGCATGTGTGTCTACGAGTCCCAATGGGTCTCTCTCACAAACCTGCTCCAATTTATTTTTGATGAACTAAATGACGTGACAAGTAGCATCTGTTTCAGAACAAATGACATTTCATTTAGATGCAGATAATTTTCTCTTGTCGTGTTCACTGTTTTATTGGCAATTATAAAGACTGCACTTTTGCTGAACATAAAGGTAAATCTCACAAGAATTATTCGACATGAATTTATTTAATGGACTTATTAAATGTATTACATATTATATTAAATCAGCTTTTCTTTGGATTAGAACATGATTAAGAATCAAACTTGAAATTATATGTGGAATGAATATTATGTGCACAACTTTCAGTTAATTTCATTCAATTTATTTTTTATTCCAATAAACATTTGCTTTTCCTGTCTTATTCCTTCCACATATATATATATATATATATATATACATGAGAAGGGAACAGATGGAGAAATACGTCAGACATGCACGTCATAACTTAAAACCCCAAACGAAAACTGCAAAAATAAGACAAGATGGTCAAACAAAAGAAAAAGCAAAAATAATGCACCAGGCAAAATTATACAAATGACCCCATGCAATCCACTTCAAATGCTGTCCATAGAAAATGATAGTACAACAAAACAGTACCAGAGTACAATTAAAAAGATATAACATCAACAAATATGAACAAAGAAATAAACAAACATGTCAGCATGACTCAATTGTACTATTCACACTGAACGCATTCAACAGAAGGTGACATTTACAGTTCTGAGGACACCAAAAATATTTATAAACCTGAAATTATTTATTCATATCCCATAAATGTGATGCACCACAGAATGGATGAAAAATCAAAGCAAATAAATTTCTTCACAGTAAAATTACAGCCTGGTTTTAATCCTGTTTTGTTATTTGTTTAATATTTTAAAGTTATTATTTGATTTGGAGAGGTGGTTTTGAATCAGCTCAAACCAAAATTTCAATCTGCTTCAGAAAGACAACAGTTCCTGAAGACTGCACGAGAAAAACACAGCCAAACCACTTCAATGCTTCAGCACTGAACTAAAATAGATAGATCGAGATAGATAGATAGATAGATAGATAGATAGATAGACAGACAGACAGACAGACAGACAGATATGGATGGATAAACGAATGACGTTCAGTTTCCTGCCTGAATCGATGAGTACAGCTGACTCAGCTGTGCAGAAATGAAAGGCGAAAGAGAATGAGGGGGATATACAGTAGAGAGATTGAACAAGAGAGAGAGAGGGCTGAAAATATTACACCCTCTCAGACTGAACCTGGGGGCATTGCTCACTGATGCATGCAATCTTATTAAATATTCATACCGCTGCACTAAATCCTGCATGTACAGAGAAATAGAGAGACAGTGTGAAAGATGGAGGAGAGAGGAACATGTGCGAATGAAGAGCTCTTTGTGATGAGCTAAAAAAGGAAACAGCCCAGTGTCTGATTCAGAGAGCTCTGTAAACCTCTCATGAGCTTTCAGCTCGTCTCTCTGCGAGCCTGCACTCTTACAGTGAAAAAAGCTTTTTATTGCTCAAATAAATCTCAGGTGCTTCTTAATAAAACCAGACCTTCAGGGGCAATCAAAAGACAACTTATTATCTCAGTAGTATTGTAATCAATAATATTGAATGACAGAAATGTCACATTTGATTGCAGTGCAGGAATCATGTACCCTTATTAAACACATACAACAAAAGTTAACCATGAAATAATTAAATCTACAATGATTTATACTGAAAGGTATTAAAAAATACTGAATTAAATTGTGACATACCGGTCTGACTTCTCCATTGGTGTTTGTATACTGTCGTGCAAGCCCAAAATCTAGCATATAACATTTCCTGTATGTTGAAGGCAGCCTTCCCATGGCAAAATTTGACTGGAAAGAAAATCCAAAGATCCTTAATAAATAAAATCACTTCAGGAAACCTAATGACAGCAATGCATTGTATTATTATTCTACACACAATCAGAAGGCAATTACAGGAAAGCTATTAAACATTACCGGTTTGATGTCTCGGTGGAGAAAGCCAACAGAGTGAATGGCCTCTATTGATTCTAGAATCTGTTTTCCCAGGCGGAGGGTTGTGCTCATGGTAAAGGTGCCACGTGGCTGACTTCGCCTGAGATCTGCCAGGTTTCTACCCTGAGAGTGATAACAAAGTGTAATTGAAGCCCTCACACCTCCATATCACCAGTAGTACACAGTCACAGTATTTCAGAGAAAACTGCATGTGATGGTGATCTACCATAAAATGTTCCTCAATCTTTGACTGAAATATAAATCACCAATCTAGTTAAGGGTTACTTATTTGCATTGGTGTTGATGAGATTTGATGTTACTGTATATGCGACTAGTTATGATAGAGAATCGTTTACCTGCAGCTGCATGACGACATAGTTGAATTTATCATTTCGCCCACAGCCTATGAACTTACACACATGGTTTTTACCTAAAAAAGAAAATAACATAACACATGGGCAGGTCATTTATCAAAATATTTTAAAAATTACATTATTGGTCAGGGTAATTAAAAGACCAAGTACAAAGATAACTATATTCACTATATTCACAAAAAAAATCTTCCAAAATCTACTGACAGATGTGTCAGTCAGTGTCGTTATTGTTAACTAAAACTAAAACCATTCAAATAATTTTTAACTGAAAGCTTTTTAATTGAAAGCTGCAATAAAATAAAATATTAATATACATTTAAAAACTTCAAAAAACTTAAAAGAAAATTAGAAATGTTGCCTTGGCAAGTAACAAAAATAATTAAACGTTCATTTTTATAATTTTAAATTCTAAAATCAAAAAAATAAAAAATAAATAAATGAAAGCAAAATAGAAATAATTAAAAAACTAAAACTAATAAAAATGACAAAAAACTTAATGAATAAACCTTAATCTAAAATTACAATGACAATAATGACAATGACAAAAAATAAATTTTAATTCAAAATATTAATATATACTATAATATTATAGAAATAATACTAAAATAACACTGGTGTCAAAAATATTTTTTGTATTTTGTGAGTTTGAGTAAATACTAAATGTAAAATAAATGTAAAAAAAATAATTTCAGCAATTTATATATACCTAATATCATTTTGTATATATTTTTTAAATAATATTTCATTTTATTTTGTTACGAATTAATCTGTATTATAGTATGATGAGTTTCATATTTAGTTGTTTTTTATTTCTTTCTGATGACTAATGGTTGAACTGAATCATCAGAATAAGTGTGTGTATGCTTGGCTGTATGATCTGTAGGCCGCTTCACATGTTTGTAGTCACGTAGGCTGTGTTACTGCCGCTTCATTCACAGTGCTAAATATACAATGTGCCACACATGGTCCACTCTGATGGGATGGTCAGTCTTTACAGATTTTAATAAATGCCTCAGTCATGATGATGTCAACTAAATACTGTATAAAATAAAACGCCACTAGCATAAATCATTTAGTATTAAGCCTTTGAAACACAACAGGGCACCTGTTTCTTCAATCTGATTCTTTTCTATAATTGAAATGATTCAAACAATACATGTTTTACTATCTTAATTAGAAATCAATTTATAGGTTTTTCCTGTGTCCTCAATATCACTTTTTATCCTGTGAGTCCTCTGTGATATCATTTTAACTAACCAAATCATCCTCCAGAAAGTTACATCATTTCTGACAGGAAAACAACAGACCAAACATCAGTAAATAATAGAAATGGATAAGATAAAAAGAAACCAGTATGGTAATATAAACATTTCAATAGATGGTTAAAAATACAGATTGCCATTCAAATGTTTGGGGTCAGTATGATTTTTTTTAATGTTTTACGTCTCTTAAGCTCACAGAGGCTGCATTTATTTGATCAAAAATACAGTAAATATTCAGTAATACTGTGAAACATTACTACGATTTACGATTACGTTTTCAATTTGAATATATTTTAAATTGTAATTTATTCCTATGATGCCAGAGCATTACTCCAGTCTTCAGTGTCACATGATCCTTCAGAAATCATTCTAATATGCTGATCTGCTGCTCAAGAAACATTTCTTATTATTATCGATATTGAAAACAATTGTGCTGCTTAATATTATTTTGGAAACCGCAATACTTTTTTTCAGGATTCTTTGATGAATAAAAGGTTCAAAAGAACAGCCTTTATTTGAAATGAAAATCTTTTGTACCTAATGTCTTTACTTGATCAATTAAATGCGTGTTTGCTGAATAATTAAACTTCTGAACTGCAGTGACTGAATCAGAAGTGTCTGAGTTTATGCAGAGCATATTCTAAAAGCCCGGTATACAATTTTAGAGTAAACACTTCTTTAAATTATAACAAAAACAGTTTTAAGAGGTCAAAAGGTACTTCATAACACGAATGACCCTGAGTATTTCTGTGGGGAATAATACTGGACAGCTACTCAGCTACTGGACAATGTGATGTCTTGTCAATGTCAAAGTGATGTTGATACTGCCCCGAAATACCATCAGCTAATGATGACCATGCCTTACCCTGTAGTTTCTTCAGAACTGCCACCTCCATCTTCAGGACTTGTTTGGGCTGTTGAGCTGACTCCACTTTTAACGCCACATTCTCCCGAGTCAGCAGGTCCAACGCCTCGTAGATTTCCCCGAACCCCCCTCCACCTATTTTCTTCAGCTGGACATAAAAAAAAAAACACAACAGGATGTTATCTACATTTTTTGTGTGTTTCATTTACTAATGGCTTCAGGTATGAAACCTGAAGTGCGAGAAACAGTTGTTTTCCTCCCAATGTAAGTGCCGTCAATGCTTGATGATCTCATAAAAATGCACGCAGCCTTTCAAAGCGTTTTTTTTAGACAAAGCATTTGGGAAACATTAAAAAGCCCTTTGTAATATCTGCATTTCAAGTGCCTCAGTAATACCTTGATTTCACTCTCCTGACATTTCAAACAACAAACTCAACAAATAACACTGTAACATAAACATGTGCATGATCGTGTATAGCCTATGTGAATAATCCTTGTTTCATTGATTACCAATTTAGAGGGCACATCTATTGATCAGGGTATACGCAATAGTGCAGCAGTCCCACTGCAGACAAACATTAGTCAGCTTTGCATAAATGTGTTACAGATTTCACAATACAGACTAATGCATTTCCAATAGACAACAGAGAAAGCAAAGCAGAAGTTTTCTCATTTCAAATGACTCATAAATCATCCCGTCTATTTGACAGCCAGTAATGTCACTCTCTCCCCTAGTCCTCTCGAAGTCAAGAGCCCATTTACTCAGGCTGGAATTGAGCAGTAATGTGAGAAGATTCTCTTCTCCTTTGTACTGGGAATTTTGTGGAATTTTATCTCTCTGTAATGTCTCTTGGCAAGACAGTCCCAGTGATTGGGGTCAAAAGTGCGATTAGTTTTACTGTTACATAATCTACTCAGAACAGGAGAAAAGATACGTGTCTGAAACACACATATATATTTTCATCTATATAAGCACCTATATATGTAATTTTACTGAAAATCTTCAACATAGCATATTAACTAATATATGAATGAATTATATAAATTACATTTATAAATAATATATAATTAAATAATTTTATATATATTAATGAGTCTCTTATGCTCACGAAAGCTGCATTTATTTGAACAGAAATATAGTAAAAACAGTAATATTATGAACATTTATTACAATATAAAATAACCTTATATATATTTGAATATATTTTAAAATGTAATTTATTTCTATGATTGCAAAGCTGAATTTTTAGCAGCCATTATTCCAGTCTTCAGTGTCACTTCGGAAATCATTCTAATAGGCTGATTTGCTGCTCAAAAAACATTTCTTATTATTATCAAAACAGTTGTGCTGCTTAATATTTTTGTGGAAACCATGATACATTTTTTTCAGAATTCTTTGATAAATAGTTCATAAGAACAGCATTTATTTGAAACAGGATTTTTTTTGTCTTTATTGCCATTTTTGATCAATTTAATACATCCTTGATTAATAAAAGTATTAATTTCTTTAAAGAAAATTGTTACCCCAAGCTTTTGAAAGGTATTGTAATAATACTAATTCATTAACTAAAGTTCATTTTAATAATTATTTTCATTCCTTATGTTTTTTTAACACTCCAAACCTCAGAAAAAAATCCAGACATTCAGACATTGGTTTTTTTTTGTTTTTTTTAATGCAAAGAAACATAACAAAAGACAATAAATACTACTTAGGATTCTGTGCTACTTTTAGGTCACTAATCAAAAAAAAGCAAAAGCACACAGGATGTTTTGTATTGTTATATTTATCTTGGTGCATTACTGTGCATCCCTGTATGTATACAAATGTCATGTATAGATCTTCTGAACACCTACCACTTTCCATCGTTCTTTGACCATGCAGTTAGGGGGCAGAATGTCCTGCTGCTCTGCAGTGCCGTTCATGTTGGCGTTGTCCTGCAGAGCTGGCGCTAGGCACTGCAACCCTGAGAGCACTCTGGCAGCCCCCAGCTTAAACGATCCATTTATCTGTGAAAAGCCACCAAAATGTGTTAAATTACCTATTCATTGCTATCATGCTTTTGGTCAGTTGAGCTGGCTTCTACATGCAGTGGCCAGTCAAACTTCAACAAACGCTAACATTCCAAAGAAAGCCGTTATCTTTGGAATGTGTGATTTAAGAAAGTAGTTATGAGATAAAACCAATTTATTCCTGCAGTTAATTACTGATACAAATTCAAGAGGCAAAATATACTCTGAGCATTTTAATGTTACTATGCTGTTAGCAGACAAAGAAAAGGTCTGCTAGGCACATCCATTGACCCACATACTTTTTGACCCAAATACCTGCGCAAATAAAATAGCCATAGACAGAGGAGAAAAGTCTAGAAATCATGTGAATGAAGAAGAAATGACACGCACTAGCCCGCATAAACAAACTGTGAGGATATTTCTAACACCACATGCTACTGTATAGATGCCAAGTAGCTTATGAAGTGTACAAACAGGGGATACTAAAACAGTTCCATTACTGTAAGCGTGCTGGGCATTTCTCATAGGATTTAAACAGAAGACATCATCAGAACACCGAAAATATTCATTAACAATTTATTGAAATTAACACATTTATCTTATTGCCCTACAGCAATGGTATTCAAATCCCAAGCTAGACCAAAAAGGGACACACTGACATTAAAATTCTGTCTGATATGGATAAGCCATTATGGTCAACGGCAAATGGTTGATTACAATTATATACTATTTTGTCTAAATAAATTAAAAACAAAACACTAAAAACTAAAATCAGTAATTTTAAAATATTACAAGCAAATTTGAGCAACACAAAGTTATATTATACAGTATATATATAAAAAACAGATTCAATTTGAGATTGTCTAAAGCTCAATTTAACAGTTATTCAATTATTTTAGTGTTTTTAAAGGTTAACTCTGAGTGAATTTTAATGTTAAAATAGGGAAAACAAACATGTACAAATACCGTGAATATCCAGTATCAGCTAATAACCAATATATCGTGCATCCCTAAAGTAACAAGGCCAAATACTACTCCCACTGTAAAAAGAGTCAGATCGATAATCAGTTTGACAAATGTATTATTATTATTTTGTTTTTTATACATATACTCACACTTTTTTTAAAATCAGCTATCAGAGCTTAAAGTTTACCAATAAACAGCACAACGGAATCTGGTTTTCAAAAACAGCATTCAAACTTTAAAAAACTTTTATATGTAAAGTAACTGAATATTTTAATGTATTTATTGAATAAATTATATGACATTTTATTATTATTATTACTATTATTAAACACAATGTAGCCTAGTTAGCATTGAGTCAGAAAGCACAAATAGAACAATTAATAAAAAAAAAAAACTGTTAAAAACAAATATAAATGGCAACGGTCATAAAAAACTATATCCGTCAATCTCTAATTCTAAAACCAGATGATTTATAATAAATTGTATTGGTCAGTCATTCAGTTTTTAAAGACTTAAATGCCATTGTCCCACTTTTACATTAAACATCAACATCAGCCTTTTAGCACAAATGAAGTTCAGCACTAAATTAAGACTCTAAATGCTTATTAGAGCACAGAAACTTTACTCCAAGGTTCAATTTTGGAGTTACATTCTAATAAACTAAGGTTAAGAGCATATTAGAACTAAGGTTAAGATGCATATTAAAACCCAATAACATGCTATTTGGCATGCAGCACCATTGGTTCGTTGGTTAAACATGCAGGGCCCAGCTCGGCTCAGATTCAGTAGCTCAATCGCTAACTCATGCCCAGCCCAGCATCCGTCAAGAACTGAAGTCTCTAGTGCAGCATCTTAGAGAAGTGCTCTACAGACAATATAGGAACAAACTGCACTATGATATAAGGTAGACAAAGAAGAGTGACAGAGCGTAATATTGCCAACTCATGTGCCAAGTTCCTGACACCTGCACTGATCTGGAGATTTGGGGAAAACGACTGGAAGTTGAAAGTCTGAATGTTGTACAGGCAGTGGCAAGGATGAATGATGCAGTTAACAAATATATAAAAGACTGAAAGCTTGTTTGGTCCGAATGCACATGAGTTGGCAACGGAATGTAAGCAGTGAAGAGTTTAATCACTATGCGTTGGTTTCTGAACACTGAGATACAACTGAAGTTCATTAAGCCAGCATTTCCACACCCTGCAGTGGCAAGTTATCAATGAGCTCTTTATTGTAGCTACATTGTTGTGAATATATTGTAGAAGAATGTAGCTATTTATCTTGGTTTTGACCATGATATCTCATGCCTCACTTTCCCATCTTTTCATTCACAGCCAATCATCAATTGCTATTTGTGAAACAGAGACCGCCCATGTTTTCAACGACCTTGGTTCCGGAAGTATTTTTTCCATTCATTTTTCCCATAGGGATTAAAAAAATTCTTTGTTAAAGAGTTATAAGCCATGAACCAAACCGACGAGCTACGAGGTGAATCACAACATCGGACAAAATAACAAAGGGTATAAGACTGTGTACTTAACCCCTTTAATGATGAAATCCTACAATCCTATGAAGCATTGCAAATGACATAAAATAAAAAAATAAAACCTTTGGAAAATTATAAAACTATTGATTTAAAGAAACAACATATTTTACATTTACATTTTATATTTAATCATTTAGCAGACGCTTTTATCCAAAGTGACTTATGCAAAGATTTATTGCAAAATATGTACTGTAATTTTTTTTTACTGAAACTGTTAGTGGTTGCCAGAATTTTACTGTAAAAAATATGGTAGCAGAATTTTAAGTTTTACAGATTTCAATTAAATTTACAGTAAAACAATTATTGAACTGTAATAATGTTTATATACCAAAATACTTTTTTTATTTGTTCTTTTTCACTTCCAAAAAACTGTGCATTTAACAGTTTTTAAAATTACATGAAATGTCCCATTAGATATATTAGTTTTTCACCATATATATATAATAATAATCAGGGGTAATGTAGTTTTCACCAGGAATTTTGCTGTTATACACAATTATTTAAAAAAAAGTTGAAATAATGGGGGCTGATGGCTTCAACAAAGGCATATACCACTGGTTATCAATCTTGATGCTCACAGGTCTGTCTTTAAAGGTTTTTAAGTTATCATTCCCCTATGGAGAAAATTAATGGGATTTTTTACTGCGGGTACTAGACTGACTTTTGCACTCTATTGTGACCATATTTGGTGATTTTTTTTTTTTACTGCATGAGAAACATCTTTGCAACCCAAAGTGTAAAAGGTCTGCCAATGTGTGGAAATACTATTGCTTCATTCCCATTACAAATGGAATCCACCTTGGGCCAAAGGACAGACAGATATCCTTGATATTTTCTACATTAGCTGCTATCTACCCTCTCCCTTACAAGCGACTAACTAACAAGCAGGTTCCGAACAGTCTTACGGGTGTTGTTCGCACACAGGCCATAATGCTGGCGAAACAACTAAAGCATTCAATCGCATGGCTTGTATTCCCGCTAATCTGCATGTGAGCTTTTCTCTCAGTTTCGTTCCAGGGGACCCATGGGATGTGAGGTTACGGTGAGCGAAAAGCAGAGGGGGTTTCATTCAAGTCACCTTCATTAACAAAGAATAATAATTTAAATTCCTCTGAATCCCAGGGAAGGGAAGCGTCAACAGCCATTTTGTGATCAAACTCTGATAAGTGAAGTGCAGCCACATTTCCAGGAAGGGAGAGGGGGGAGCTATGAAGGACGGTGTAACTCTCTCACCATGTTCACAAATCTCTTCAAAAACCTTACGTCTCTGACAAATATCTTGCAATTGACCAATTTAGTCGACGCCAAAACCCTCCTTTGCCAGCCTACAAGCCAGAAAAACAAGAGAAGAGATGGATTATACTTAACAAGCAATTGGTTTTAAGCACTTTGAGCTGATGCAGACGTTGATATGACGTTACGGCTGTTTTGTTTTCCTTCTCTGTGCTAGTTATCAAGGATTTGGCACATCGGTCAGTAGTGGCCGATGATCTCAAACCGTCAGCAGTTCCTCTTTTGACTATTATGACACTCACCATCCATCTTAAGGCAAGCATTGGTCAGACAGAAACTCAATCCTTAAGGATGAATGTCACAAAGGTCAGTTTGCACTCAATGTCCCAGAGAAAGGTGATACATGCATTATTGAATCATAAGCTGATGCGCAAAATGAAAAAAATGTGTCTTTGACTTGACATTACGAAAAGACATCGCCGTTACGAAAGCCCTGTGAACTGAAGAAAACAAAAGATACTGATGTGCAACACAGTGAAATGGACACAGATACATACACAAATTACAGCACACTTGGACACATACGGGCCAATGAAAAAGACAGACAGTAAATACATATAATGCTTTCGTAAATGCAGAAATGTTGTGTTCAAATGCATAAGGGAGAGCGGGGGTAGGCTGTGCCAATTTTCCTTTAGTTTTCCAAATAAGCTGAGAAGAAATAATATGAATTCTCAAAAAAGGCCCATGTTTTGTATTGTCATGTATTTAAAATAAATAATTAATAACGCACTATCCCTTTCTTAAAGAAAGGTTTAAAACAAAGGTTTACTATTCTGAATATTTCAGTGCAGTGGAATTATTTCCAAATGTATTTATTTATTGTAATAAAATACAAAGTGGGGGAAAAAAAACTTTTCAAATCTTCTTAGATACCTAAATGCCTAAAAAACTAAGTATAAGTAAATTTGGTTTGACATAAAAGTTATTTTACCTGTCATGTAGAAAATTGACTTTCACATGCAAAAACACACTTTTGAAAACCTAAAACACACACACACAGGTTTGTTTTTGTGAAAAGTGGGGACATCCCATAGGCGTAATGGTTTTTATACTGTACAGACCGTATATTCTATTGCCCTACACCAACCCTACCCCTTACAGGAAACTTTGTGCTATTTCAGATTTTTAACACACTCCATTCTGTGTGATTTGTAAGCGTTTTGAAAAGTGGGGACATGGGGTAATGTCCTGAAAAGTCACCTTCTCCTTGTAATACCTATGTCATACCTTTGTCATTATACAAATTTATGTCCTCATTTGTCACAAAAACGCGCACGCACACACACACACACACACACACACACACACCTTTCACTCAATCACAAGAAGACGTATATGATGGACCCTGTCAAAATATCTGGATGCAAAAATTGTGAGGATGGCACATCTTACCCCATTCCCTCTTATGTCACAGAGTTGGAGTAAAGTTTGTAGGAAATGTACACAATATTTAACAGACCACTGCATAACAACTTCTGGCTTACATAAGACTTAACATTTCATTGCAATCCTTACTCCAGATTATTTCACATGCTTTAGTAAAAAACAGAACAAAACAAAAAAAAGGCAATTCCCTATTTTAAAATACATTTGGATGCTCTCACCCTACCTGGCACACAGACTACGCAAAGTCAGTCCTTTCCGTCGTTTAGAAATCTTCATTTGGGACCTCGCAGTGACACAAACCATCAGCTGGGACCGTTTTTAAAACCATAAACCGCCTGATTTGTGCATTTTGTTACTGATGCTCCATCTAGCTAAAATTCTGTCCACAGGTGTTAAAATAAATAGCGGTTTCACTATTAAGAAAAACGCAAATTAAAATATTTATCTGTACTGTGTAACTTAAAACATTTCTCAATCACACTGATAATGAATGCACTGCAAGCCAGTGGACTACCACAAAACACCCACTGGAAGCTCACTTGGTTATCTAATCGCAAACATCACGCCTTTAATATAAAAACCATGCAGCATATATTGATGACACAAAGGTCCAAGGTTAAAGCAAATAAACAAATCTGGCAGGTGACGTGCTCTAATTCGCCGTATCAACGCGCTCTTTTGGCATCATAGTGAAAACAGCTTAAACCTCAGAGAATTATATACATCAATATTATTCTACCCAGACGTTCGATACATCCAATACATTTTGATAAATAAACGACACCGCTCTCACTGAACACAACTGTCCGGTCGCGCATCCTTTGCGCTGGTCCGCACTGCAGCGCGTCAAACACCCATGCAGTGACTCTGTACAATCTGTAGAGGACGCTTGGTACATGAATATTCATTACGTTGCGTGACGTTCGTCTCGTATAGCTCCGTGATTGGGTGATAGACAGAAGCTGCGCAAGTGAACTAACGAATCGTACTGTGAGAAACGCTTAGCTTATGAATATTAATTACAATCAAGGAAGGTTAACAAGCAACGTCAGAATGACCTTATTATTATTCATTGGCTTTGCCTTGGCCATAGTAGGATTTGCTGTTTCACCTCCTGGCTACACCCGTTGTCAGTGTGCATTTTGTATGCTTACATAAACTAGTCAACAAATCAAAATTAGAGAAAAGTCTCTAAGATGACAAAACCCTGAAAAGTTCATTAGGGCAAAGTAAAGATACCGATCCAAACAGAAAAACGCACCCAAACAGAACTACAATCTCAAAATTCAAGTCAATAAACAACACCTGGGTGCAACAGGCGCGTGTAATTTCAGCAAACGCGTATAATGTATTTTTCAATCACCCAAAAATATTATTTACAGACATCCCGGATGCAGTTGGCTTAATTTACATTCCTACGTTGGATGTTTTAACATGATAGCGGTTCTCCAATAGGACATGGCCTGGCATCTCAGCACCAGCCATATTGAGTCATAGCGAAATTGAAATATAAAGCGCTTATTACCTGCTCATTTTCTTATGTTTGGAGGCGCATAACCTCTTTTCCCTCGTCAGGATACTCTTTAGACTTCTCTCCACCATTGCTAAGGATGCTGGATGCTCCCTGCTTTGCTCCCCGCCCGTCTGGATCCCAGCATCAGCACCACACATCACTCGTCCTCTCTGACCTCCACCACAGCGAAGCTGATGCTATACAACCAGTATTCCGCTCTCTGCTGGTGGACTCTTCATTGCACATTATAACTAAGCAATTTATAAGTCATAAATAGTAGTTTAGTTCTTATGGGAATATGTTAGATATAAACGAGTCGCTATAATATATATATATATATATATATATATATATATTTTTTTTTTTATTATCATTGCTATTTTAATTGGTATGTGTACAAAATTTTACTCTGGAGCAATCCTTGTTGGTCTTGGTCATGTAGTTTATTTCCCTTTTTTCAACAAAATTATAAAAATAGAAAAAAGTTGCTACATTGTAATATAGGCACACACACACACACACACACATATACACAAATGATACTCTTTGATAACTGATAAATGAATATTAGTGGTCCATATATTGAAGTATTTATAATAAATCTTATCAAATATGTCATACATAAAGAGAATCTTTGATACAAACTATATTTATATATTCACATGTTTTTTAATGTTGGTTATACTGAGTCAAAGACAGGGTTTGAGAAGTTGATGTTTTCTGGCTCCTCTTCCTCGTTGAAATCTTCAGGACGAATATCTGTTTCAAACATCCGCTGCAAAAGTCCATCCACAGTTCGGGATCCTGGAAAATAAAGCAAAAGTAGTCCTTCAATACTTCTGTTCTATTCTATTCTATTCTATTCTAAAATAAAATAAAATACTTCTTGAAGCAATCTTGAACATGAGGGAGGGCTTCTGTTTGCCAGCTTCAGAAGGACCTAGTTCATTGTCATTGCTTTCCATTGCATCTACAAGACCAGTGTCCACACCATCCCTGACAAACACAAAACCACATAAACCTCCATTAAACCCAAAATCAACAGCAACAGGATGCTATGCTGATATGCATCCATGAAAGGTTTTTTTTTTACATCAAATAACTTGATAGCAGGTTTAAATGGCACATACTGTTGAACATTAAGCTCCAGCTCCTCTATCTTTTTCTCCAGAGAAGTCTGCAGGTCACTTTTGTCAATTGTGTATTCCACCAAGAATGCCTCCAAGATAAATGCTACAAAAATACTGTGGGGAAAAAATTATAATATTAGGCTCACTATTCACATTATGCATATTTGTATTTCAAAGCAAAACACAATATTAATATTCTAATAGATAGTCCATATTCTTACTTGATTATAATAATGACGACCACAATGTGAAAAAGGACGAAGAAAATTCTGGCTGAAATGTGTGTGACTGCTGTGAAACCACTGGTCAACAGTACAGCTGAGTTAAGGGAAAAGCAATGCATGATAATGATGTTATTAGAACTTGCAAAGACATTAGTCTAGAGTTTCACAGCATTATCCTTGGAGCAGAAATACGTTTTGATCTGTATTTGTAAAGGATATCATGCCACTGATTAACCACAGTGAGTTCCAGCAAGACAATGAAGGAAGAGACCACATTGTTGAAGTTGTTCTTGCAGTAGTTGAGTTTAGCAAAAGTGGTTCCTTTAAGGAGAGGGTTTCCACAGTACTCTTGATCAGGACTTGTAGAGTTAGGTTCAAAAAACTGAACTTTACCTTTAAATAATTCCATTCCAACCATGGCAAATATGTAATAGACCACCTGTAGGGGACAGCAGTGGATTATACATATTGTTACATATCAATTATGACAGTTTTTCATTACAAATCACAGTTTAATATGCAGCATGAAGGGTCTGCCTCCCTTCAAATGATTATGTCTCTGTCCCAGGACCATAACAGGGTGGAACAATGGCAGTTCGATGAGGTGCAGCCTTCTTAATGCAGTCATAAATCAAGCACTGCATCCTCCCACTTGCTTTTTAAAGACCCTATTACTGTACAAGGTGTCCTTGATGCCAGGTATGGTGCAAAATAGATGGATCACCAATGAGAGGATGGCCATTTTTGGTTTTCATACTTTCCAAGAGGGACACATTCATCCATTTTGTACTTTTTTTTAAGCCATAGTCTGTATAATGCAAGCAATGTATTGTATCCATTAAAAAGTATGGGGTTGGTAAGATTTTTTTATTTATTTATTTTTATTTTTTTAGTCTCTCATGCTCACCAAGACTGCATTTATTTGACCAAAAATACAGTAAAAAAAGTTATATTGTAAAATATAAGTTAAAATAACTGTTTTATATTTTAAAATGTATTTTGTTCATATGGGGTCCAAAGCAACACTGAAACCCATTGACTTTTATTGTTCAGAAAAAAAAAAAAAAAGAAAGAAAGAAAGAAAGAAAGAAACATAGGTTTGGAACAACATGAGGGTGAGTAAATTATGATAACTGACATTTTTGGGTCAACTATCCCTCAACAATATGTAAATACTCACCACTATGAGTTGGCCAAATATAAGAATAGTTGGTCCAATTTTAATAAGAATGTTGATGATGGCTCGGAATCTACAAAGGTAAGTTTTTTAGTTTAATGTCACATGGCAGCATTTAAAAGACACACAAACCACTTTTGTTTAGCAATTGGCTGTAACTATCTGACCTCTTAATGGAATCCACCAAGCGTATGAGTCGGAGGACTCTCAAGATGAAAATGATGTCCAAAATCTGGCGACTTGTGTAACCACCAGCTGCAAACAAAAATTTGGTCAATCGATTGCAAAGAAAAGACAATAGGATTTCTTAAAGGTATGCTTATAATCACACTTAACAGCTTTGATATAACATTTAGAAAACGCAACATTATGTCCAGGTACACTGTAACGATAATACATAAGTATATACTTCATACCCTTCCTAATGCTTCATACTGGGCACTTACAGTGTTTGAGTGCTGAGTTAATGATAGTGCCAAAGAGTGCAGACACAATAATGATGGTATCAAACCTGTAAGAGATAGATTTTATTGAATTTGTTTTCATGTGAGCTCACACAGGTGTTATGTGATCAAATTCAGTGAGCCATACAAAACAAGGTCTCCTCACCAGTTCCAGAAATGATGTCGAGCAAAGAATGCCCGAGGATCGGTAGCGTACAGTTTGAGAATGATCTCCAGCATATAAAGAGCCAGAAAACCCCACTCAGCATTTGATACCACAGGGTTCTCCTCATCCAGACCAATGAACACAGCATTCACCAGGATAATCAGGTCATAGACATACACAAACATTCTGAAACACATAATGCAACAAACAGATGACCATATGGGAAGCACATGTACAAACATGTTAAACGGCATCAATAGGTTGTCCAACTGGGTCACAAAAAGAACTCAAGCAGCTTTGTAGTAAAAAAAAAAAAGTGAATGTCTCAGTATCAATGCAAGATATTTTGTGTCCATGTACCTCTGATGAACCACATAGCGGATGAATCTGCTGACTGGGGAATTATACATAGAGGGGAAACAGATTTGAATGGGGTGCGGCTGTGATTTCACTGTGATCACCTGAATACTCAGAAGATCAGCAAGCTGGACAAATGCAAACTTTCCTGCTCACACAAAGAAGATTAAGGGGGAAAAGTGAAAATTCAATACAACTGAGGTCAAATGTAACTTTTAAGTGCCTATTTTTGAAGAAAAGAAAAATCAGTCTGACCTATGTGTCCTTTATTCTGATCATCTAAGACGCTCCAGAGCAGTTCCCGGTGAGAAATACTGATATTCGGCTTGACAAGTTTAACCAGATGGTTCCATTTGGCCTGGGTCACCACAGGCTCTCCACCTTCACCCCGGGCCTCCTGAAGCAAAGAAAATGCCCGGCACATCTTAAATCTTCTGGACTTCACCAGCTGCCGGACTTCCTCCTAGAAAGCATGAAAGAAATCAAGTCAGCGTTTCACTAGAACTAGATAGACAGATAGAGAGATAGATATATAGATAGATAATAATATTAATTCAAGATTTTCTTATTTTAAAGTAAATAATTTCTTTAAAATGAGATCAACGTAAATGTGCAAATACCATGAGAAATTTGCATGCTGACATGAAAAATATGTGAATACCTTAAGGTGCTTTTTGTAGTTACTGTAAACGACAGCCAGAAAGAAGGACATGAAGGTATATGTGTTGATAACAATGTATAGAATGAAGAAAATAGTGAAGAAAACACTGTAGTTGTATGCCGGCATCCTACAATGAAAACATAAACACAATATTACAGAAGCATTTGCATAGTATGCTTAAAGCATATTGTGGGTTGCTGAAAATCTTTTATACTACTGAATATACAATTGCACACTAATACAAATTTCATCAAAGAGAAAAAAAGCTTAAAAGGATAAAGAGAGAGAGAGAAAAAAAACTAACAGTTTAAGACTTACATGACATCAGGGCTATTAGCAGTGGTCACTAAAACATAAAGATCAAAAACAATATCCAAATAGTCTGTGAAATACGGAGAACCATCAATGGTAAGAAGGCCCCTGGGATAAAAGAAAAAGATACAACGAGCAGTTTAATGGTAAATAAACTATTTTTCAATAGACACAAATGAGATAACTAGAAAAACCAGAGGTACAAATGGATGATACTGTATTTAGGGTTACCTTTTCCCAAACAATTTAAGAGCCACGAGAGAAAAGACCAACACGCTGAACATGAATAAGAGAAAAACATAGGAGATCTGAGGCAGCGCATTCCGAATACTCCTGAACGCCCTGCGCAGCTACAAAAAAAAGAGAAAAGAATGGGACTGGAGGAGAGACATTTGTGCCCTAAGGACATACACTACCAAGTTTAGGATCTGTAAAATTTTGTAATTTATAAAAAAAAAAATAAAAAAACTCTTGTGCTCAACAAGGCTGCATTTATTTGATCAAAAATACAGTAAACACGGAAATATTGTGAAATATTATTTCAATTTAAAATATAATTAATTCCTGTGATGACAAAGCTGAATTTCTAGTCTTCAGAGTCACATGGATCCTTCAGAAATCATTCTAATATGCTGATTTGGTGCTCAAGAAACATTTCTTATTATCATTGTTGAACACAGTTGTGCTGCTT